ACGACAAATTTATTTTTTCCGTTGCTAAATCCAGCGACGGATTTTTTTTTTTACCGTCTCTAAATTCATTTAGCGACAAGGTTTTTACCAACGGAGTGATTCCGTTGATTAATCCGTAGCTAGCTATGTCCAGCGACGGATTTTTAGCAATTAGCAACGGGTTTCACCTGTTGCTAAAAGGCCAAATTTTTGTAGTGTTTGTGGATATCCATTATCCTCCTTTGTATCATCCCAGAATAATCTAGATCTAGGGTTTATATTCTTATCCAATCAAACTCTAATATATTGTATGTATATATACACCTTATCATATGGAATAATATACACAGATTTATTCTCTTTCAATCTCTCATCTTTCCACTTATTTTACAACAAGCAATTAATTTAGGTAGGAAATTTTTTTACCACAACTTGACATTTGTACAATTTAAATAGAGAATGATGTTAGCGGTTGTTACTTTAGTTATATTTATAGATTAATTGATTGATTTGCAATATCTTAGCTGGTTGGATTAAGCTAGCAATTTTATGAAGATAGTTTAAGAAAGATAAACTTGAATTTTCCCTTAGTTAAGGGCTTCGAATTAGTTGTATGCAGTTTTTTTTAATACCTTTTTATATACGAAGTGTTTTGTTTTGTTTTGTTTTTTTTTTTAAAAACTATTTGCATCCTTAATTTGATTGAAATCTTGAATAGTTCATAGTGTTGGATGGTTGACACCCATGTTATTATTATTATTTAGTTGTTGTTAATTTTCTCTAATAGGATTTCAAGATAGAATAATTTTTTCCCTCATTTTTGTATGTGTGTGTCTTAATAATTTTAAATCTCTATCTGAAGGTTATGTTTTCTCTTTACTTGAATGTGATTAAATTCAAATTGCTTTTACAACAAAGAATTTGAAACAATTTTTTTTATTTTTTTTTTATTTTTATTCAGTACAAAGCCACCTAGTATATCCAAAGTACATGACAACATAATTGTTTCACATATGAGAGCCTTTATACAAATTTTGCCCCCAAGCCTATAATATATCAGGAATGGGCCTAGCGCGACTTGATTCGAAAAGTAACTCGTTTAAGATTTTAACTTGTATGGACACGATATGCAAATTTGGTAATTTAGCATAATTTAGGCTTGAGTTGGACTCACTAGACTCAGTCAAAATCGACCCAATTACCTGAATTCACACCTACATAATTTAGACTTGAATTGGACTCACTAGACTCAACCAAACTCGACCCAATTCAGTTCAGTTCAGTTCAGTTCACTAGACTCAACCTAATTTCATTCTCTCATAAAATATTCATTTCAGCTCAGTTCAATTCAGCTCAACTCCAATCAATTCAGCTCCAATCAGTAAAGTTCAGCTCAGTTCAGTAAATGTGAACATACCCTTAATTGCATGAAGTTTGGGTTGAATGTGTTAAAAGTGGCTTATTGGAGAATTTAGTATTGCAACTTTATTCCAAAATAACCAACATGGTAAAACTTAGCACTTTTGCAACACACTAGTTTGACCATTAATATAAATACTCCCTCTGTTTCGAAATAATTGACACACTCCATTAAATACAAAGTTTAATAAAATAATAAGTGGACATCATAAAAAGTGTTATATAATGTAAAGGTAAGTTATTTAAGCAATTTTTAGGGAACGTTCAAATTTAATGTATATAAAAACAAAATGGGACAAGTGAGAATGGGAATTTTTTTTTTTTTTTTGAAACGGTAGGTATAGTAATTAATTCTAATTAAACAACGGTGGTTTTTATTACTCCCTCCGTCCCTTAATTAGATGCCTATTTCTCTCTATTATGTAAAGAATAAATGTTAAAAATAGGCATCTAACAAAGAGACGGAGGGAGTCCTTTTTAAGGTAGTGTGCCAGTTATTTTACTCAACCAAAAGAAAGATGTTTGACTACTGGAACCCTACAGCACCTAACTACTGGAAATATCTCTGGAAGTCCGATCTTCTATCAGTTTGGAAGCATTTTATATGGAAGATTGCTCAGAACATCCTCCCTACGACATACAACCTAACAAAAAGAGGAATTATAACATCTAGACATAAGACATTGCCCTCTATGTAATGAAGATTTGGAAAGCATGAATCCCTTGTTCCGCTTCTGTAACATTTCCAAGAGGGTTTGGGCATCCTCCCCTCTTGGTATCCCTTTCCACTAACCCCTCTCATTTGTCTTGCAGGGAATGGATGATTAACTTCACCAATTACTGTATGAGATGTTTTCCTACCGACCCTTCGATTCTAGTTATGTTCGTGGCTGGCTTATGGTCCATTCGGACACACACAGAAATGTAATCAATTTTAGAGGCGTGAGTGTAAACCCCAGCAAAATACTGGATGTTGCACAGATGCGCGTTCGAAGACGGGAGACTGCTAACAAAGTGGCTGTGGACAACAACGTGCAGAATGCACCAGGGAGCCAAGACAAGCCTATGCTATGGTGCGTAGGGAAGGTTTCATCCAGGAGCAGCATTTCAGTCTGTGTAGATAGATGCGGCATGGAAGAGGCAAATCCTCGCAAAGTCAGATTCCTGGATAGGAGCAGTAGCGTGCATAGCAGAATCTGATGATCTCCATCACTTGAAGGAAGCGGCAAGAGTTCATGCATGCACTTCCAATCAGGCTGAAGCGATGGCCATCCTAAAAGCAATCAAGGGAATTCCGGAGAGTTATGGCAACCTGATTATAAAGACGGATTCCAAACAGCTCATCCAAGCGTTAAGGGACCCCAACAAGGCGGAAGAGGAGCAGAAGCACCTAATCAAGGACATAATAACAGCTGCCAGCAAAAGGGATTTTGCTGTATGTGTAAACGTGGATAGACACTTAGTCAATAAGGCCCATAAACTAGCTGTTGAGTGCAGGAAGCCAGGAAGTATGGGTAGCTTATTGGCTCTAGTGTTAATCTCTATAACCACTGCCTAAAATAAATAAATAAATAAAAGAATTATAAATATATTGGAACATTATGTGTAATGAGTTTGATATATTTTCATGTAAAGAGGTCGGGTAATTGTGTAGCTCACTTAATGGCGAGACAAGTCCCACCTAATGGCCTTGAGCATATGTATTTAAATGATTTCCCGTAGGGTATCATTTCCCTTGCTGAACTTGATATAGGCTGATCTTTTGATTTCGAATATATGCTCTTTGCCTCTTTGAGCCTTTTCAAAAATATATTGAAACATTAGTAAAAACATTAAAAAGTTATTGTTTAGCTATAAATCTACTTCACAGATTCCACACTGGTTAGCAACTTAGCTATATGGTGAGCTCTATATACCTGATCTCAAATCAACTTTCAGAATATTATAGACTTGGAATTTTGGAAGCACATCAAGTCGTCAGATTTCCCCTATGGTCAAGTGGATAAACATGCCACCGTTCCTCGTATTGAAGCATAGAGAATAGCGTGGTGCAGTCCGAGTACACCAGGAATGGTTCAGGCCTAGACTCCACTATAGTGCAATGATGCAAGCTGAAGCCTCAGCCTGCAGGCACTTTAAGACAATCCAAAGGTGCCTGCATCACAATCTTTGCCTGTAACATACTCCGTGTTTGTCCCCTATTCCAGGAGCCATCAACCTGAATTGTGCAATAAGGACCAAGGAAAATTTTGTCTCTCCAAACATTACCTTTTTTTTTACAAATTAATGCTTGTTACTGATCAGAATTTCCCAAACAACCAAACCTATAGTCGCTACATGGTTACATTTATGAATTGTTCTCTAGCAATCTCTCTTCTCAAGGTCAAATGGGTAGTTGCTCTTCACAAATACCTTAAATGCCCAAAAAACTAAGAAAGGATTGTAATGTTACATTACAATTTCATCCCAAAAACATAAAATTTACAATGGTGCTAGGAGTACAAATACAGTACAACAGCATCAAAAAGCAGAAGCAGAATAAAGCACAACATAAGCACTTAAGCAGTGTTTAAAACCTTAGTGTCTGTAAAAAAGGCAAGGGACAACATTTATTTAACTGTAATTATATCAATATTTATTTAACTGCAATCATAAAAGGATGAAAAATGGAAGAACATGGATAATTATACTCCCATATGATGCAAACAAAGAGAAAAAAGGAAAAAAAAAAATCTGCAAGTTCTACTGAAGTTAACCAAGCCAAATTAATAAAACAAAACCTAAGATCTAAAACAAACTCCTATAAATTAACTAATAAAACCTAAAATCTAAACGTAAATCCTTCAAATTAGCACAATTTCAATCTAGTTTATCTCAAAGTACCGGAGTACATGAGCAGTTTCCACTTTATTTAACCAAAGAAATTAGAGTTTCACTCTTGCCTTGAGATTAAGGCATTGTTCTTCAAAAGAACTAAGACATATAGCAAAATAAGACCAATTATCATCGACAACGCCAAATTAAGGGAGATGGATGTATGAAAGAGGAGTTGGGAAGAACGGCTATAACCCTTCAACTTCGCACAATTTCAATCTAGTTTATCTCAAAGTACCAGAATACATGAGCAGTTTCCACTTTATTTAACCAAAGAAATTAGAGTTTCACTCTTGCCCTTGAGATTACGGCATTGTTCTTCAAAAGAACTAAGACATACAGCAAAATAAGACCAATTATCATCGACAACGCCAAATTAAGGGAGATGGATGTATGAAAGAGGAGTTGGGAAGAACGGCTATAACCCCCTGACATGAATGTTCAAGTTACAGATTAAACATATATTTAGTATTCATAATTGTATCTTTACATGTAATATAGGTGTTATTAAGTATTCACAGGAACATCCCTGTATCTTATTGCATTCCTTTAACATCCCTCGATTAAGTCTGCTGATAAATTAAATGGCATAAAAAAGTTCATGCAATCCTGTCAAAAATCAACTACAAAGTAATAGCTAATCATTAAGCACAGCCAATGTTGGAAGTATAAGCATGTGAGAGAAGGTGATGGAAAAACGGAAATCTTTACATGAAATCTAGCACATATAGAGATGAGATTTTGAATTAAAATGATTACGAGCAATATGAAATGAGCAGTATATGAATAAATTTTGACATATATATACAAATTCAGGTCACATACAACAGGAATGTGAACTCAACAAGAAATAAATCTCTTACAACATAAGTGTCGAAAAGTACTGCTCGAATTCCTGATCTATTGTTGGCTTCTGTCTACCCATATCTCCCTCTGCATCCAAACGAAATGTTGTCTTTAGAATAAAATATTTAAGTTCTCCACATATAAACTGGTAACTGGAAAACTAACAGTTTTGAAATTAAATTTAGTAAGACATAAGAGTCCGCTACTATTGTGATTCTAGAATGTGCTTCCTAAAAGAGTAAAGGCTAAACAGCCAACATGTTATTTCCTGTGAAGTGTGAATCCAGATCAAACCTTTCTTCCTTATTTGTAGTGGTGAAAACTCAAGCTAAATTCTACTAAATTATGTCCAAGGCTTTAAACACAAGAGTTATGTGCAAGGTATTAGATAGTGAACATGTTACACTTAATACAAGTTTTCTCTTATAAAGAATGACTAAATTACCTCCATCAGCAATCCACCTATCTGACGATGGAATCCCACTGGAGGAAAGTAACCCTTCAAGTTGTTCAGAAACATGTGCCTTGCTGTCCCTATAATATTGTGCGTCGATGCACTCCTCCAGACAGTCAACATCATACCACCCAATAGTACTCTCCTGATGAGGAAGATGGTTTTCTTCCATATCATCCCCTTTGGCATTGAAAATTCCACTCTCTAGTGAAAGGGAATCAATTCCAGAAGTGACTGGTCTTGAATTAGCCCAGGAAGTAGAAGCCTCATCATACGATTCCGTCTTTCGAAAACCTGCTTCAAAAACCACTTCCGTAGATGACTGTGAACCTCCCGGAAAGCTATTGCTGTCTTGTGTTGATTCAACTAACATGTTAAGGAATTCTGCACCCTCTTCATTCGCAGATCGTAATGATCCACATTCAGATTCGTCAGCTGCCTCATAGCATACATGCTTTGGAGCAGGCAGGCCAAAGTCTTCAGCAGCTACAGCTAACTGTTTTCTTTTCTTCAAGTTGGAGCCAACAAGTTTCATTTTCTCAATTTAATGAAGCTCTGGATAAAACAACCAAGAAAATTTAAGAATCCAAACACCTATCACTTAGCTCAAGGAATATGCACCATAAAATGTTAATATTGTGTGCCTGGACAGCACTAGAAATGCAAGCTGTGTAATCAACAAGCTACGAAAACGTGACAACCTAATTGGTTGAAAGAAACAACAAAACTATGTCCTCAAATGATCTTAGACATTTAAGGTGCTGGGATTTTCACCTTTCCATCATATGGCAGTATGCCAGTATGGCCTATGACTTTAAAAATTGTAGCTCAGTCAAACATAAAATAGCAGATTATCATATCATTCATCCTTAGCAAATTTCAAGATTCTTCAATAAAAAGAATTAGATAGGGCTTTTGTCGATATCCCACCATGACTTTACCTCAAATCCATGTGATTTGTGCAAACTCCATATTATGGTGAACCATATGTTTCATACCCCAACTTTTGTTTTCTCCTTTCGTTGATTTTTGCAAATTCCATCCTTTGAGTTTACATTTTTACCTCAAAGCTTGTTAAATTTCTATAAAAAGTACAAGATTATCACTAAGATAACCCAGCAATTGTTTTTCCTTCAAAACCAATATTAGTGACAAGATTTTCACATATGTAGGTACTAACCGAGATGACATCTCCCCAATGCTAAGCAATGTTTAGCTTTCCAGTTGTATTCTTTTTTCAATCCATGAACTGGAACTCCATCCTTTAGTTGTTTCCAAATAGGAAAATTTGTTGAAAACCATCTTATAAAAACCAAATTTTGTTAAAAACCATCTTATAATTTTTTTTTTTTTTTTTTTGGTCCCGAAACACATCTCTTTTAAAATTTTTTTTGTTAAGTCCCACCTCTTCCCGGATTCCGACCATTAACTCATGTTTCTGACGTTGAGCGAAATCCGGGAAGAGGTGGGACTTAACAAAATAAATTTTAAAACAGGTGTGTTTTGACAAAAAAAAAATTATAAGATGTTTTCAACAAAACTTGGTTTTTATAAGATGGTTTTCATCAAATTTTCCTTCCAAATAAAATAGAAAAAAAGGTGGATTCCAAAAGTGAAGAAAGACTGCAGGAACCCTGGAAAACATAACCCCTTGAAGGTGGTTTTTGTCACTTTTCTTATATATGTTAATGAACTGAAAATTATTATGAGACACACAGTAATGTTCAGGAGTATATACAAGAATGTGGGAGTCAGCAGTGCTTAAAGAGCATTTTTTAGACGCACGCAAGCCTACTGAAACGAGCAACACAAAGATGACTACAGAATGTGTCAAAGATTATATTGGACAAAAAAAAAAATATCAACATGATTTTGCATAAACAATCCCTAGACCACAAGCTAGAAAGCTCACAAGTTCCATTGCTTGATTTTACATCTCATCAAACCAGCATGATAGCTAGTACTTGAACAACAAAAACACCTGACAATTTCCAAATAAGCTACAACGAACTAGTCTAGAGGCAAAACAATGAGAACATTGATCATATATCCAAGAGCATGTTAGCAACAGCCATTTAAGTGCTTGGCTCAGTCTACTGCATATTAAAAATTACGGAGTAGTTCCAAGTAGAAAGGACTTTAGTCTAAGAGAAGCTCCTAATGATGTCATCGTGACAAAAAAGAGATGTGGTGGTTCAGATAAGCTTAGCGGCACTCCATGATAAAAAACTTAACCAGGGAAAAAAGAAGATTTTGAAGAATTGAAATAGAGTCCTGTGATTCCTGTCAGTTGGAAAAATAAAATTCCCAAGTAAGAGAAAAATCCCCGGGGCTCTCCTTGTGGTGTTTGAGTCTATCTGCAATTGGGGTTGACAGGGCACATCTAGGAAAGTTGAGGCATTTGTAGCTTGGAAAAAAAAAAAAGGTTAAGGGGAAATGAATTGTTGAGCATTTGTAGCATCAGAGGCTGGTTCTTATATCAACATGTTGGTAAACCTTAATAAGGAATTTGATTTTTGAGAGCATAGCCTTGTTGCAATAGGATTTAAAGCTCTTTTATATAAAGCTTTTGTATTATTTGATCCATGACCTTCATTATAAACACGGGAACTTTTCAGATTTTGTAGGTAAGGTCAAATAGAAATCATTAGAGTCCATTACACAATGAACTCATAAATGGCATAATTTGTCTCAAACAAAATACCTTACAAGATCTACAACAATATTTTATAGTTTCACACTCCCAGCTCATATAGGGATAACACCGGCAAAGAGGGTATGTGTATGCCACTATGCACTACAAAAGCACACTCATAATTAACCTTGATGAAGGATGAAGCAAGAATTGATGCAACTTAGTTTCAAACTGAGGTAAAAGATGGAAACAATAGCCATCCATGATACAATCTATATTATAATTACAGAGTCAGTTAATGAGGTTTCTCCAAAACTTCAATACTCAACTCATGATTTTTTTTATTTTTTTTTCCCCCTTTGACTGCTTTGAGTAACTTCCATTATTTTTTTTAAAAAAAAACTTCTGTCTTTCCTACGGAGTATTATTTTTCCTTTCTAAGTATACATGTTACATGTATACCATGCGCTAGCACGGATGAACAGAGGAAATAATCGAAAAACACAAACACAAAAACACAGACACAGACACAGACACATAACACAGCTTGGCATGTTCATTTTGTTAAAGCAAACAGTCAATAGTGTCTCTCCGTCCCTATTTGCCATATTGCATTTTGGGACCTCCATTATTATCAATATAAACCTTTTTATTCATACTCAAAAGAGGAAATACATACAATATCATTCCATAATTTTCAGCAGATTTTAAGATTATATGAAGAGGCTGTTATGATGAACATTTAACTTGAAATCAGAAATTTATTGGAAGACAGCAGAATCAAAAGCTGATGAGTTCAACTTTCACAGAAAGTTCTTCAGTCTTATCAGCACCACTCTAATAACTTCAATTCCAAGTTGACAAACAATAATTTAATGTAAAATTTCACCTACGACCCCATAAGTTTAATGGAATCTACAAAGCATCAGCTGCTCATACACAAAACTTTAAAAGCTCATACCACTTAATCAGAGTGCTCTCACTTAATAAGACAAAACCTAGATCAACCCCACATTTTATAAACATATGAACTCTTTTTGTATTCCATTACAGAGACAACATATGTCTGTTGGTACAGCCCTTTGGTGAATACATGCTGGTTTAAGCTTTCACTTAGTTGACACGAACCTATAAACGACATAATAAATGATGTGCACAAGACTAATATTGTAAAGGTAGCTAGTCGATGTCATGATAGAATGAAAAGCATGTTGATTGTATAGACAATATTAGCACATTAAGAGTCACCTTTTCAATTTTTGTTAGAAGGCAGGGAGAGAGGACGATACTTGTGCTAATTACAGTACTTGTTGGTTGTAGTCTCGATAGTAGTTAACACATTAAGAGTCACCTTTTCAATCCTTCATAGTAGTTGTGCCCCCAACCTCCTCAGTATAATTTCAGTTTATGCAAGACATACTTCATCCGAAACTGCATCTATATACTCATGTATTGCAATACCCTCCAGAAAGTTTGCATCCACACAATTGTCATATGTGACTAAGTGAGGTATGATGGCAATAGTATAGCACTAAATATACAAGCTTTAGACCACTTTCACGAATAAAGTGAGCTGTTTTTAGGATAAAATCCTATGTCTTATAATCACAAAATATCATGCTTTGAAATACTGTTGCCATTATCTAGTTAGCCACAATGCCACATTAGAATGAATACTCAAAAAATCCTTTTTCTTAACCAGGAAACGAAATATAAAGCAATACATACTAATTTTGATGAATAACAAAGAGTATAATAATAATTCAGAATACAACAACAACAATAAAATTTTAATTCCCAAAATGATTTGGGGTTGGCTAACACGAATCTTCATAAGGAATCGTACAACATAACAAGAGACATAACAAGATATTCAGAATAATAATCAAAATTCAAAACCTTACCCCTGTAATCTGCCATGAATGTATGCTTGTTTGAGATTAAATTAACAATTCAAAGATATCAAATTCGCCGCAAATCACCTTAAACCCTGCATAATAGAGATAATTCAATACAAACTATTTGGAAAATCTATAACTAATAGTCTTATACGAAGTACTAAAACCAAATCAATTGACACCACCATTATATATATATGACAAAATCATTCTAAATTCTTCTTTTTCCATATAAAATTACTCGTACTTATGATTATTTACTGATCCATACACTTTTATTGCAATACTACAACATATTTCGTAACACTTCCATTTGAATTTGCTTGATAAAACATTTTTTTTTTCCATTTGTATTGAGTTTTTTTTTTTTTTAAAAAAAAAAACCATTTTGTGATTAGTACTATGTAAAATCTTTAATATGAGTAATACACACATGAGTTTAAACATTCTCTTACGAACAAAAGATATTTACAAATATTTTAGTGCATCGCACGAGTACTAACCTATTTCCCGGAATAATTCAACGAAAATCAAAATCACAAGCATAAAAAAAAATATAAATAAATAAAAAAGTAAAAGTTTAAGCTCACCCTACCCTGTGAATCTGGAGTTTAAGTAAACAGTTATCTTCTGCAATTGAATTTCAAAAACCAAGATGTAGCTAGCAATTGAAGAAAAGAGAAATTGGGGATTTTGATGGAATTTCGATAATGGTGGATTACTACTTGTTAATACTGAAGGTTGCTTACGAAGTTACGATATCTAGTGGACTGTTCCCTCAGTCCCTCCCACGTGAATACCATGTGATTTATGGATTTTTTTGGGACAAACATTTTGGGATTTGAGATTAATTCTACCACAGTATTTTGGTATGGCCTGTTGCCAAGTCAGTAAAAATAATGGACTCAGATGTACGCATAACGGAACTGCTATTCACGTGCATAAGTACAAATTATAGGGGTTACTGGCTTTGTTAGGGTTATTTGTATTTTTCGAGGGTTACTTGTATTTTTTTTTTTTTGGGATTATTTGTATGAATACTTATTCAGGGGTTACTTGTATTATTACTTATTCGGGGGTTATTTGTATGGGTTAGTTTAAGGGTTAATTGTATGAGTTTCTTATTCAAGGGTCACTTGTATAAATTACTTATTTAGGAGTTACTTGTATGAGTTACTTTAGGGGTTACTTGTATGAGTTACTTTTTCAAGGATTACTTGTATGAGTTGCTTATAAGTCCCATACCAAACCAGTAACATCCTACAAGTAACCCATGACCAAACCAATAACACCCTATAAGTAACTCCTGACCAAACCAGTCGCACCCTACAAATACTCCACAATCTACTCATATTACTATTGCTTTTTCTATTGCTGAATTTTTTACGAAGAATGTTCGATCAATGATTTCACGAAGAAAACGAGCTCACATTTCTCTGGTTCTCATCAATTTCACTACTTCAAATGTTGTTGATAATCTTAAGGTTAATTAATTGCAATTTTTCATAGCACTTTGGCACCCAATTTCTACAATTTTGGGCTTTAATTGTAGCAATTTGACAAAGAGGAGAGAGAAAATGGGTGGAGTAGAAATATGGTTATTGGTGATGTGTGGTCTGAGTTGGAGAAAAATCTAAGAAAAGAGGGGAGAGAAAATGGGTCGAGTAGAGATATGATTGTTAGTAATGTGTGGTTTGGCTTGGAGAAGAAGCTAAGAAAAGAAGAGAGAGAAGACTTGTGGTATTTTGTAAAAAAAATAATAAAAAAATAATAATAATTGTCACTGGCCACACCGTGTAGCCAACCACATACAAAAATTTGTGTAATTCTATTTGTCACAACTTGACCAAATTTGCTTCATACAATCGTACGTAAGACTGTAAGAGACTAAAGTCTAAAGATCTTTTTCTTTAAAGTTCGTTAGGCTGCTAATGTCTGTTTTGCTTTGCTTTATTCTGTTGAAATATGTTATGCTCTGCTCTACTATGCTATTACATATTCTACATTGTTGACATTTGCTCTCTTCTACTAGAAGCTCAAAAGAATAGGACCTAAGTGGTCTAAGGCTCAAAACTTCAAACCTTGTACATTACATTTTTTTTTGTAAAAATTTGCTTAAAATAATCCGTATTATTATCAGTGTGTTCAAATAATACAACCTAAGCTATTTACTATCAACATCACCACCTTTTAGAATATTTGGGCGAAATAGTACACCGGCTATCTAGGTATCCCAAGGACTATAGCGTCCACATGCTCTCTTGTATTTAATACTGTTTGTAATACCACTCATGATTTTTTTGAAGGAACTTAATATACTACTCATATCAACAAGATGCATCTTTATTTTAGGGAGCTCGTAAAAAATATTTCTTAGTTAAACGTGCTTGGTTGAGAGTAGTTTTGGGATGGGTGACCTCCTGAGAAGTTTTCCCAGGGTGTGCATGAGTGAGGACAAAATGCGCCAAAAGGACTTGTATTGGTTTGTGAGGACAATTGTTGGCTCTTGATGCGCATTTTGTACCAATGTGCCCCACCCTAATCTAGGATCGGGATATTGTCATCACTGGAAAATAAGTGGAAACCCAGGGAGCACCCCTACAAAGCCGAGTACCATGAATCAATCTCTCATTTGCCACCTTTGTTAAGAGCCTCGAAAAGGTCTTTACACAAAGGAGATATAAGTAAGGTGATATAGGATCCCCATACCAGAGACCCCTAGATCACACCACTCACATTGTGTCACGTACAATACCATGTATAACATCGTATAACCTGGTGCAGTGTCACGGTGCATTGCCACGTATCGCGACGTTGTAATACCCCTATTATTTTAGTACTCTATCTATATATTTTATATAGCAAAATTTGGTTTGCTTTTTACTCTCTCTCAAATTTACAAGCAAGTTCTTTTTCTATTTAAGTTTCGAGGACGAAACTTGTTTTGAAGGATACAAATTTTTAAATGGATCTGGTTCACACTAATTTATTGTGGACCACTAACATAAGAGAAACTATGGTTGTTTTATAAATATAAAAAGGGAATCTATAATAATAAAAAATGTCACGATGTTGAAATAAAAGTCATTTTGGTAATATATAGGCTATAAGAGGTTAATCTTTTTGATGAAATATTTTATATACTCGTCAATGAAAATAATAAAGGTCACTATGTTAATATTAGGGTCATAACGTCGTATTTTAAATTCACAATACCATTAAACATTATACAAGTTTTAATAAAGGTTACTAGGTCCAAAATAAGGGTCACTATGTTCAATATAATGTCAGTTGCGTGTGTATAAACCTCGGGTCCACAATAATATTATTGTGGACCAGGTCCACGCAAGTCTTTCTGTTTTAAAGAGGGTAGATTGTAATACCCTAAATTTTTCACATGTTTTAAAGAGAGTAGATTGTAATAACCGTAAATTTGGTGTTTTTTTTTAGTGTAAAATTAGAATTTTCAATCAGTATTTAAAAGGTCTATCTTTTTATTTTTGATAAAATTATAAAACCTTGTACTGCGTATATTTTAGTTTAATTCTTTTCGCTAGCACCTGCTGTTATTCTAAAACCCTACTTTATTATTCGTAGTTTCATTATTAACTTCCATTCTCTTTATTTTGTCGTTTTCTTAGCTTCCTTCCTATCTCGTGCATTAGAACGCTCGTAAGGAGTCCTATTAAAACCAAGAAATATAGGCCTGCCTGCCATCCACACCAGAATAAATAGATTTTTCCGAAAAAACCTGCTAGTGGAGGAAGACCCCCTAGGGATAAGAGGCATAGGGCTAAAGAGAGTACCTACTTTTTTCAGTATTCGAAATCTCTCTTAAACCTTTTAGCCTTTGATTATCATCATGATTTTCCACCAAACTTTTACCATGATAAACTTACGTATCTTGCCGGCATGATGCCGTTCCAGTGAAGTTCTACAAATTATATACTCCGTATGAAGTGCTTTCATGATCAATTATCAACACTATTACTAACTTATCCAAAGTTCCGCCTGATTTGCAAGTTGTGAGTCGAGAGGCAATGGTATTCCTCTAACATTAGCTTAACTGTACGTTTATTGAGATAGGAACATATATTGTAATATGATATTATGAGAATAATATCATGTGAGATATTATTGTGAAAAAATATACATGAGATATTGTGAATAGATTTAGGAAGTTAAGATATTTGGGAATATTAGGGTTAGATATTCGTATTGTCTATATATATTGTAATGTGGCCAAATATTATGAATGGGAAAATACAATGGAAAAATACAGAGAACTATTTTCCCCAATAATTTAACATGGTATCAAGAGCCTAGGGAGATCCTAGGATGAACACGAGAGTTCGTGTGAGAGGAGAGAATGAAAAAAAACCTTGATCACGAGAGTTCGTGTGAGGAGAGGATGAAAAACACGAGAGTTCGTATGAGAGAATGAGAAAAACCTTAAACACAAGAGATTGTGTGAAAGGAGAAGAAAAATTACGACGAGTTCGAAAAGAAAGATGTTCTCGCTGTATTGATTGATGGGTTCGAAAAGAACGACGTTCTCATCAAGGGAGAAAATACCTCAAACACGAGAATTCGTGTATGAGGATCGAGTGATCAATTGCACACATTATTCATTATTTGCGTCCAATATAGAATTATTGTGAGAGTTCACAATACATATTTTTTAAACAGCGTGAGTCAATTGGCTTGTGTGAGATATTGTGCATGAGAGTTCACAACTTTTGTGTATGAGATAGTGAAATTTTTTGTGAGAGTTCACAAATTATTTTTTATTTTTATTTTTCTAAGATCAATTTTTTTAAGTGATTATGTTGTTGATCATAGAGGAATATGATGATTTTAATGAAGATGAATAACGTGGCATATATGTTGATCGAGTGCAAGAAGATTATTTTTGTGCTTTTCCGTGGATCGTTCGATGATTAGATGCAGATTTTATTTTAATGTCCAAGTCCGACGTTCGAAATCTACACCTCCGACTTGAGGGAGGGTATTGAGATAGGAACATATATTGTAATATGATATGATATTATGAGTAATATATCATGTGAGATATTATTGTGAAAAGATATACATGAGATATTGTGAATAGATTTAGGAAGTTAAGATATTTGGGAATATTAGGGTTAGATATTCGTATTGTCTATATCTTAACCCTAATATTCCCAAATATCTTAACTTCCTAAATCTATTCACAATATCTCATGTATATCTTTTCACAATAATATCTCACATGATATTATTCTCATAATATCATATTACAATATATGTTCCTATTTCAATAACGTTTCTCGAAAGGTAATTACACTATCAATCCTTTGTTTGATATTAATGTGGTTGTGTTATTATTATGTGTAAATTTATTGGAGATGTTTGGTTATAATTTGTTTACTGATTGTACTCTATATTATTATGTGAAATTTTATAATTGTTATTCATATGATCATGTTTCGAAAATATATGGTTAATTTATGATGATGTATGATTTAATTGTTGTATTATTTTATTGTATTATATTGATTGATTGTGTTTTTATTTCTAGGGTTTTTCATGTTGCTATAGGGAGCATTGTTTTATTGAGGTTTTACGGTTACTAATGTTATTTTGTTTGGGTTGAGATTTCATAAATTTTAGGTACTAGTATTAGCCATATAAGAGTTGGATATTTTATGAACCGAATATGTCGTCATATATGAATTGAGAACCTGTGCCAATATTGAGATATTATTTATTATCATATGAATACTTATTTGATCAAATATGAGATT